GACATTTGGAGATTATCCTGGCCTTATGAGGGAGCAATTTGAGAAAAAAGAGCTTCAAACCATCGTCGTGTTGCGGCTGACTAGCATCCTTAAACTGCGACACATGGGATATTTATGGCGAAATAATTATTGGTAAAGTATGGGTGATGCGAGAGATGTATGGGTTATGCGAGAAGTACTATAAATGAATCTCGGTATAAGAAATTAACTGTGTAAAATTTCATTGAAAAACGTTATAATCTTGTTTTAACGCTGGTATTGTCAAGAACAAACCAAAGTAACAAAAACTATTAATATTAAAAGAATAAATTCATTACAGCTCTATGGAACTTTTACATACTTCCTATAGAAAAATGGGCATACAAAAATTCTATATATTTTATAGTCTCTAGAGTATACAAATATTATATATATAAAATATATTAAAAAGTAAATTTATAAAATATTCATAAATATATTTATATTTATATATTTATATTTATATATTTATATTTACGAATTTATTTATAAAATTTTTTATAAAAAATAACATATTACTTCTTTTTATTCATATTTGGAGGAATGCAAATGTAGTTCTTTACTTTCAATACTTTGCTTTCAATACAAGTAATCGGTATCACGCAAATATGATGTTTCGCATACAGGTATTAAATGCGATAATTTTATATTTGTTTCTATATACATAATTGTATCTCGATTCGAATTATTATAATATATATTTTTACGGGTAATTGCAAACACTCTTCCATTTTAATAAAAAATTGGATTCGTCCCCAAAAGTTACCATTTCCCCAAAAAATTAAAGAGTTGTCTCGTTTGATTTGTTTTTTTATATAACGTTGAGGTATATACTTCTTTTCCAATTTGAGCTCTGGCATAAACAAATAATTATTGATTTTTGCAAAGATCGTTCCTGCTTAATGATGTAACATGAGATAATGCTGTTATAGTTGCCTCATCGATCACATGCTCTTTAGGTGTACATACCTAAAGGCATAGTACAGTCAAGAGATTTCTTTTTCAATACAGGTAATGAGTAAAATTTGTGTTTTAAACTATACATTACATTTATTAAATTCAACGTATTTGTTAACTCCAAATCAATTTTATTAGGACCGTGATTAATTTTTTTCAAATATCTATTTGCATCTTCAAAAGCAAATGCGGACCGAGCCCAAAGTGGACCCTAAAGTCTTACGAACTGTGTCAAATGTGTTAACTGATGAGTATTTAATGTGCACCGCTCAAGGCCATATAGCATTTCAATATTCACAACAAAAATATGTAATAAATTTTCAGCTAGCTCTACTTCGGTTTTACTAATTTTTTCTCGCAATAAGGTATATATTGCATAAACTAAAAGGAGCAAATGCTGGTAGTAGCGATCTGGAATCCTATTTTTCATCAAAATAGGTGAATAGAAAAGCAGGAACATTCTATACTCTGATGCTTTCCAATATTTTCTTAATAAGATCGATCTTGGGGTACGAGTAACATACTTCACTTTAGATAGGCTTTACTTCAGATAGGGCATTGTTGATATCGTCCCTGTCACACTTTTTGACGTAAAAACGCTTGTCTTTATTAGATGAATCAAACCAACAACTCATTAACATTCGAACTACACCAAGTAAAACAGCATGCATATAATTCGGCATAAATCCCGTGGATATATTAAACAATGAAATTTCAGCAGCAATAGTGAAGCCTTTTACTCCATTCACGTGTTTTACTCGTAGATATGCATGTGCATGTGATTCCGTCTATCGCCTATATGTCTTTGGTGAAATATTATTTCTTGATTTTGTAATATTTTCTTAGCGAAAAAGTCTCGTGACTCTGGAGACCTAACAGAAGGAATCCGCGAGTTCTCACTTCTCGAGGACGCGTGTAGTGTATCGTGTTTATCTCGCTTCCCGAGACCTCACGTAACGTAGCGTGTATCCCGCATCACGGGAGCTCACGTATCGATAATCGACAATTTCGAAGAGGAATTATTTTGGATTTAGTTTCGTTTACCTAAATTGTTAGCGATATTATTTCTTTGACCTGTTTCGAAATTACTATTTCTTAATTGTTGAAATTCTAACTCGTCCTAAATAAAAGGACACCTGTTATTGTTTTCTATTCCGAGGTTCTCATTCTCCTAATCAGTTCCCTTACCAACATCTGGGCGATATCTGCCCCTCTATCCTCGCGTGTCATCTGTGCTATTCGGTGGCACTATCTCTCCGTCCCTTCTGGAGCTATTTTGCAGATTTTGTTTCGTGACGCAAAAATGCGTCTGGCGTCCAATCGGTCTTTTCTGATATCGTATTCCGGGGGAGAGAGATTAGTTATTTGTCGACAGAAAATCAGCTGTTTTGCTACGAACGGCTCGGGTATTATTTTGCAGTAGTTCCCGTCATACCCTATCTGGTTTTCGGGAATTAATGATTCTTAGATTTTTGTCACAACGTATAAAATAAAGTTTCATTTATTGAACACACTTTGTGCTTCGCATCCTAGCGAAGCTCAGAGATTTTCTACGGATTCTACTGTACTTAAGAAATCTACCTTTATAGTTTATGTTCTACTTAAATGAAATCAGAAATATGCCTTCTCGCGATGAATATAACGTTATTAAATATGAGAATATCAAAATATTTTACGAAGCGTATAGCGTAGAAAAGAGACCAGCCGAAAATATAAAAAAAACACGAGAAACAGAATATTTTCGACGAGTGAAAAGTGGGTATGCATAGATGCAGTGCCACAATTCTGCCTTTCGCTTCGCGGGACACAGTATAATTTAAGTGAAACACGGAAAATGAGAAAAATCGTTAAGGGACATGCAAATCAAAAGCACTCAAGAACTACGCTGCGAAATGAGAGACCTTTCGCGTGCCTGTTCTTATACACGCTACAAGTTCTTTAGTGAACATGCTACTTATCTGATTGGTATCAAATTTTTAATAATATATACTATCATAAAACTCAGTTTCGAAGTCTAATATATCTTGTGTTAGCCCTCGCTTCCTACTATTTGGGTCTGAAGAAACCGGCGAATATTTGAAAGCAGTAGGAATCAAGGATTAGGATATACTGAATACAGTCCACCCAGTTAAAAATATAAAAATGAACAACGGTAGTAACTCTCTGGTCTACATCTGGGTCACTAGCGACCCAAGCGTAGTGTACTTCAACGTGGCGACGAAAATTTCTGTAGACCGGGGGAGGGCGGGGGGAGTGGTAACCGCAGTATGTCTATTTAACCATTTGCGGCACGGTGATAAGCCAGTTTACACCTAAATATTCGATAAAACGTGCAAAGCATCTTTCTTTTCTCCTTTTAATGATACCTTCCTACGTAATCTGGTGCGCTTATCACGAACTTAAGATCAAAAATTCAGAATCTGTACATTTTACATTCAAAATTTGGCTTCAAATTTATTGGAAACTTTAATTTGAAAAAAAAAAAGAATAATTAAACTGAAATTTACAAAGATTCAATTTTTCGCAACAAATGACCCGCATAGGTATTTTTGCGGTCTGGTAATATGAACATGCTATTACAATTTCCTAATTTAACGTAACGGATCCAACATGGCGGACATTGCTAAGTTCTATTCGTGAATCACAAAAATTTCTAAAATATGAATTGTTTTCACATATTTTCATACCAAAATTATTATACACGGGTTTTTAGGGATGCTGAATACGAATCTATTGTCACATTTAGAAATTGACATTTGACAGATGATAATTTTTGGAAAATGAAGAATATTCTGTTACCCACACACTTCAAGACCCCTTCTGCGCCTTTGCGATTCCTATTTGTCTGCTCGCTCCCCGAGCAGAAACTTAATCGGGCTTGCCTGACATGGTACAGAGCTATGTCAGATTTTGGCAGGGGTTCCACAGTAGGAACTCCAGATTAGAGCCATGCTGCAATCCATAAAGCATTTCATATTACATTCTAGACTCAATCGCGCCATCCACGTCGATTCTACATTAGGAATTTCAGGCTAGAGCCTTACTACACTCATATGGGTTTCCCTAAAAAATCCTAGAAAAATCCACTGAAAAAATTTCGGGAAGTAAACTCGTGCTGGCCTTGATAACTTATCAATTTTGTCATCTATTGCCAATTGTTAATTCATAATGAATATACAACCAGCAATAATTTAAACTGTTTGTTTGCAATAACAATTATCTAATTGTTAACCAAAATGTAAAAATCTATTCACACATTGTCTATTGAAATTCGTTTAATCCACTTGTGAAATGTTAACCCCTCAAACAATCCGAAAAATATTTATAATGTCCTTCTCTCGTGTCTTTCCTAAGACAAATATTGTCGATAAGTGAAAAATACGTATTTTATTCCGTCAATTCTATAAACGAAGCCAAAAGTAACGAATCATTCACAATCAATCAATTTAATTTCTCTCTGTGAGATGACACGAAAAAATGTTCCAACAACGAAGCGGGAGTTCACTACAGTTATAATAGATATGATTGCCATACGAGTGCCATGAAGGATTAAAAAGAAAAGAAAAATAATAATAGGAATGAAGACACCTAAACTCCTAGATGAGAATGAAGATTGACGAAGCCTTCCTACATGAAATAACCTACAATCAAACAGTGGACAGAATCAATCTATAGGAAGGCCAGGAAGGCAATTGGCGAGCGAGAATGCAATTAGGGGACGATGGGTCTTCAGCTAATATTGCGCAACAGGCAACAATATTGCAGTACATCTCCACTTGGTACAAGCGAATGATCAAATATTTGAAGTCTGCCGAATCATCAGCTCTTCCAGGTACACAATGGACCGTGCACGAATAAACAAGAAAGTACAAAGGGGTTTCGAAATACATTCCACACCTTAAACTAAAAAAATAATTCATAAATTTCATATGGTTCCTATGAATTGAGAAGAGGGTACACATCGACTTTCTCGCTTTTAGAAATTCCTCTCGTATATGCGATAACGTAATAGCTATTATACTCACGATAAAGAATCAGGAAGGTATAGCAACCAATCTAGTAACACTCACCTGAAACAAAAACAAATTTAATTAAGCAATGGATCACGTAGGAGTAGAAACTTGTTAGAGGTTCGTAAAATATTCCGCTGCCTTTATAAAGCAGTTTGTGTTTAATTGATTTTCACGTTACTTCCACTCAATTCGAATTGAATTAAAATCCAATCTCCCTGGAGAGTCCCGGTAGTCTTCCAACTGTACGAACGACAGATTTGAAAATTGAATGTATCTGTACTAACGTTATATCAGAGAAGTATCAGTATAACACAAAGCAAATATGACTGAAGTATAATGTACGATTTCCAGTCTGTTTTAACGCACAGGTCTTAATTTTCCGTCATTATAGGCAGAGTTCAATAATAATTGTACGATATTGTGCTTCATTGTATCCAAATAATACTATTCATTGATTACTCTATCCGTATATTACGGCGGTTCGTACAAGATATAACAAGAAAAAAGTTGGAAATGGATCGGAGGAAACACGTTTATGGCAAAATTACTAAGCGAGACATTCAAAGAAAATGATGACGGAGATGCCTCGGAACTTTTCGAAAGGGAGTTTTTATTGCAGGGATGATCTAAAAAGAGTATACTCTTACATAGTTACACACCATAGTGTGTAACTATGTTAGCATTTAGGCCGAGAGGTTATAACGAAAATGTAAGCGAGAAAGATTGTAAGACATTGCTCCGGGGACAAGGAAAATGGAGAAACAGACGAAAGAGAGCATGAAAAATAATGTAATGGCGCGCAGAGCAAAAAAGTGCGTGAGAGAAGGCAGAATGGAACAAAGTACATTGTTTATTTTTCTTCTAAGCCCCATTGATTTCTAACAGAAAAAAAAAGTGAAGGGAGAACGCGATTATTTAATGTACCTTGGGACTAAATGGAAGGGCTAAGAACAAGCAACGATAATAAAAAAGCAAACAAATGCTAAATATGACATAGAAGAAAATTACATTTTGTGAACGTAATATTCTTTATAAATGAACAAAGTACAAAAAATTAATTTTTTTCAAAATAAATCCATTCGTAGCTCAAAATAGTAAAAAAAACATTGATGACTAATACTCGTGAGTTTTTCTGGTCGCTGATTTTGAATCTGAATTTAAAATTTAGAAATTCAAAATAGCGGATCTAATAACATAACGGAGTGAAATGCGAAAAATGAAATTGAAAACAATTATTCGGGTTTCTTACTTTCGTATTAGGTAGACTATTTTTGATGTTCAAATTATTATTTCAAACTCAAAAACAACAACCCGAAAACTGTGGGGTGAAAACATTTCACCCCGTATTATGGTTCTTTCAAATTTCACTCTGTCATATTGGATCCGCCATTTTGAAATTTTGAAGTGTTATTTCAGATTTAAAATCTACGACGAAAAAAACCATAACTCACCAAGTTTCATAAAAATTAAATGAACGGAGAAATGCATGTGCTAAATACTTTCCTTGCGACTATGGCTACGAAATATTAGCGGAGGTTAAATAGAATACTTCTCCGAAAATAATACCTAATAACAAAATTTATTAACCATAACCCAAATCAATTACAACTAAAGGATAATGAAAGAACAATGGAAAAATAAACAAGGATAATTAAAGGATAATCAGCAATATTTGCACAAATTCTCGAAAAATTAAGCCTACGCTTTCGTTATCGACCGGTTATCGATTCGCCTAATTTTCCCCCGCAAGCCGCTCCTCCATCCCCTTGTCATCCCTAGTTCAAATGACTTTCCTAGGGTGCACTAACGTATGCTTCAAAAGGATAAAGTTAAATAATACTGTATTTAGGTTTAGAACAATTTCTAAACGTATTAAATATTGCACTTTGATCAGAAATAACAATTCAACTGAGAACTTAATACTCCTACAGTTGTTGTATGTTCTATGTGATGAAACATGGGATCTCATAAATGATAAAAATTAATTATAAGAGAGTCCTAGATACACTGTCATGTATCCAACACTGTTGTATCACTTTATATTTCAGGCTACTGAACTGAGCGACTTCAATTGAGAATATCGAATAAAATAAAGCTCTGTAAAATTTATTAAATAACAACAAACACTCATAATATGTAAGTTCTATGAATTTTTAGAGGAAATTATCAGAGGACTTTATAACCTCAAAGGTAAATCTTATTATTGACTTTAGGACACGGTTGATTTTATTACTAAGCATACCAGTCAAATGAGTATAGATCATAGAACAACATTCCAATTATGGAAAGAATAACAGAGAAACTAATTATAATCTTATGCCAACACTGACAAGACTTCCTATTAATACTCAGCTCCTGCCACAGCGTTTTATTGATTTTATTAGAGGGCGCCACTGCGAGTTTAATCTAGATCGAAGAATTATTTCTTGTTAATTTTATTGCCCGTCTCTTAGAAGTTGCCGCACATCATTATTACTTCGGATTGGAGTTGATTCGTAACGAGTTCATATTGCTTCCTCAATTTTTCATTGAGTTTAGCTATGGCCTGATTAATCCAGGATGAAAAACAGTGACTATGAAGTTGAATAACACCCGCATCTACAATTGATTCAGAACGTTTCGAAACCACAGATGAGCTATTTGGATAAATTCAAAATAATAAGATTTCAAGTACAGAACCGTAAAGAGCACCATTGTGTTCACATCTGCTCAATAATGGATGTTCTGGTCTATTGGTGCTACAATCTGTGCTACGGGCAGACATAACGATACATTAAACTCAAGCTTGACGACGATATATTCATTTCTATAGGTTTTAGAAAAATTACCTGATGACTCACCGCATGAAACGTGGCGTTAAACTCTACCAGTACTAAAATTGTACTTTATCTTAAATCATAGACAATATGCATAGATACATTTCTATAATTCGTAACATGCAGACGAGTATATTATTAAAAAAGAATGTATAAATATAATACCTATAATAACACGATGGTCTAATAATTTTAGCAAATTAACAAGATTTGATATCTTGAAATTCAAAATAGATTTTATCAGAGACTGCGTCAAAAAAGCTGAGAACTTTATTGTATTTCATATGCAATTACATAAAACGTATTAGACTATTGCCCATAATTAAAGCTTACAAATAAAAATAGATTTTAGTTCTTATATGTGATCAAAATTTAGAAGGACGTAAAGAGATAACCGAGGTGGGTATTTACTCAGTATTAATCGCTAACTACTACCCATAGTAATTATGAATCATTTGCAATGGTATTTTATCAAAGAGAATCAGAGGTAACTAATGATATATGAATAGAAATTCATTGAATACCATTGATTATCTTACCAGCAAAATGTCATTGCTACTGGCCATTGATAATGATAAAAAGGGTAGCGGGTATCAAACAATAAGAGTTAAATGTATTCACAGAAGAAACGAAAGACAGAGAGAGTAATAGAGCAAAAGACAGAGAAAATGTCAGGAAAAGACGGAGGAAAGTTCAGGGAAATATTGCAAAAGGACTAAAAAAAAGTGTATGAAAAGTGGATACAGATAAATTGGTCCATTCGTCCAAAGCATCCAGCACCACCTATCGGAGGAATTATGTCACAGTAACTCCCTCCTTCCTGTCACCTTATGAATTGGAAAGGACAAGATTTACAGAAATACTTTAGAAGGCACAAAAGGAAAACCGCAAGAAAATTTAGAAAATAAGAACAAATCATACGTGGCATTGACTTCTAAGTGGCAATACAAGATCCTTTTATGCCTACTTGAAATTTATCGAAGACACAGTAAATGTGACTCCTTTTCTCAAAGAAACGGGAAATCATGCGTGACAATGAACGAACGAATGGTGACGACTACTATCATTTACCCTGCTGTAATGTCTCATGTGAAAAAATAGAATCTCCTTATGGAGATTATCTGTAACTTTTCTTATTACCTATAACGGAAGACCTTCAATTATCGATAAACGAATTTAAGGAATTGGCCAAAATAAGAGTAACTTTTTTTTTTCGAAAAAATTATTTTACCCTCATCTCATTTGATAATTTTTGTCACTCGCACATTTAGTTAAAACTGCAGTATTTTACGTATTCTTACAAGTTTATGATTGATAAAAAATAATATCGATTAACAATCACTTTCCCACAGGTACTGAAAGAAGGAAATAGGGAAGGAAAGATACAATGCCGATTGTGTGGCATTGTCACTTGGCAAAGAAATAGAAAACGATGGGAGAAGAATGGAAGATGGAAAATGGAAGAATTGAAAAGCAAGGGACGAGATTAAGTGCATGGATAAAGGATCCAGTTTAATCAGTTTAATTTCTTTTTCTTCGTGTTTAATTAGACGCAATTATCAATTGATTGAATTTACAAGATTTTTATTTCTAGAGAGATTGAAAGATTTTTATATCATACTTTGTATCAACTAACAGAAATCACAAGAAACAGTATTAATTTGCTTAACGCGATAGATACGTTCATATCAGATTCTAGTAATATGATAATTGCGCATAACGGAGTAAGAAAAAGGGGATTGAAAATTCAATAAAAATATGACTGAAAGGGTATAATTTAGCTATTTCTTTATTGCACCATAAAATTGGCTATAATGGACATCCAAAGAAAATATTATTCGTCGTATAGAACTATGTATGTATAAACTTTGGTAAAAATAAAAAACATACAAAGTGTCCTACTATAGTTTTCGTTGTTGCTGGATGCAATCAGTCACAACAGGTGAGTAAAAACGATGAACGCAATTGGTGCTGCTTTGAAAAACATTTGCATTATAACGAATCCGCGTAAAGTAGGATATTTACTGTATGTAACATCTCCGTTGCGGTAGCGTATTGCGTTTGCACTAGACTCCCTCCATGAGTACAATATGTTTTCTTTGACAGATTAGAAAGAATGCCCTTAGCAACTAGTACAGGGCATTCCATAAAATCATTGAAATATATACTAATATAGAAAAAAAAGGTCACTGCAAAATCATGCGCATGCACAATTCATAACAAGAATATTATGCAA